TTTATTCACGGCTTTAGCCTTGAATAAAGATAACTTGGGGACCAAACTGGAGAGTTGGACTCAAGAATAGAGCGAATAATTGAAAAGTTTTTATACAATTTATATTGTTGAAATCTTTGGAGTTTCTTTTTACGAATCCTAGCAGTTTTACGGCTTTATTTACAATCAGTACAATTATGATCAGTAAAAGATAGAGTAGTGTCAAAAATGATTCCTAAATCTTTTATTGACTTTTGCTCATTTAAATTTATATCACAAATATTATAAATATAAATGGATTAGGAATTCTGTAAAAGCGTATAATTTGGCATTTGTTAATGTTCAGGTACAAGTTATTTTTATCACACCAATCTCAGTTGTTCATTTCAAACTGAACACTAACACAGTCTTCTAATGACTTACTCAATAGATCTTTAAATCATCTGCGAACAGCTTAAATTTACACATTGAATGTCGTTGATGAAAATGTTGAAGAGAAGAGGTGGAAGATGGCCACCCTGAGGTACCCCAGAGGTTACGCTAATGGCCCTTGACTGAATACCATTCAAAGATACCACCTGTATTCTGCCAGATAAACAGTCAATCAACCAATGTAAAAATTGCCACCTATACCCAGCAGTTCTAGTTTATGAAAAAGTAGACTTTATCAAAGGCGTAGAGATTAGTGACCGTTAATCTATAGTTATTCAGATATCGTGAGATGCGGTCGGGTGTGATGTAGGTTTCAGAAAAACATTTTCTTTATCGTGCCACGTTTCGATCATTATTGAGATCATCTTCAGGGCCTGGGATTTATGTTTTATGTTTATGTTTATGATATATGTATGTTATCTATATTGTATTTGGTTAATGATATTGGCGAAGCTGCGACTGAGTTTACATGTATCTGTTCTGTAATTGATGCTGTGTTTATCTCTGTTGATATAAACCATTTCTAAGAAATTACGTTTATATTTGTTTTGTTCTGTATGTAATATTTTTGGATTTTTATATTTTGCATTGTATAAATTCACTTTTCCGCATCCTAAATGTAATTGTTAAATGTAAACATTGTTTGTAAATCCCAGGCCCTAAAGATGATCTCAATAAAGATCGAAACGTTGGCACGATAAAGAAAATGTTTTTCTGAAACCTACATCACACCCGACCGCATCTCACGATATCTGAATAACTTATCAAAGGCCTTCGCGAAATTAGTATTGATTGCATCTACCTGGTTTTTATTTTGAAAGGCATCGATATATTCACAAATTCATAAGATAATTTGACCCAAGAAGATTTCCGGTGATCAATGTGGTTCGGTCAAATCGCTGCCATCGGAGTGAAAAAGTCTGCACAACAAACCGGTAGACCTGATGAGAAAATACTTTACAACATTGAGGCACTTCTTCACAGTTATCAGTCTAAAACGACCATAGTCTGAACAGTATCATTCATCTAAAAATATTATTTAAATTAAAATCCTGTGTCTTTTATAAATGCCACTACCTCAGATTAAACACAAATGATTCGTGTCAGAATTTTAAACAGTCATCTCATCTGAACATCACTGAAGTCACTACAGTTGTATAAATACAATTTTCCGCTCAAAAAACTACCAAATCTCAGGGAAAATATATTTTTGGCCGACTTTGACAAGTTGAAACCTCCTCGCAAAGGAGAGTCTAGAACATCCAATCGCTTCCTATTTTCTAGGACTAAACGTCTATATCTAAACATTTTTTCCTCGTATCCTAAAACTCGAATCTCTCGGACGTTTTCTATTTTTGATATAGTTTAAAGTTTCGTCTCCGAACGCCCTTAACACCAAAGACACTGAAGATGTAAAACAAAAAAAATCTGCTCAAAAAATGCCAAATCACATGAAAAACTCCTTTTTCTCAAATGTGATTTAGTCGCCATTTCCTCGCAGTTGTCTGAAAAAATCCAAAAATAGCGTGGTAGGTCTAAACAAAGTCATCCATCTAAACATAACTCACTGAACTTGTAAAAGAACAAAAATGTGCATAAAAATTGCCAAATCTCACTACAAAAACCTTGTGTCTTGTCTAATAACACTTCCTCGCAGTTGTCAGACTATACGTCCACAAAAAGCATCCGTGGTCGAAACACCGTCATTCATCTGAACATTACCAAACTCCCTTAAGTTGAAAATGGTACAAACTGCCAAATCTCAACGGAAACCATTTTTCGTCGAGTTTGACAAGTCTCCACTTCTTCACGATTGTCAGACTAAAATATGCGCTGATTCCTGTCCTTAATCTAAACAGTGTTGCCCATATAAACATTACTAAGTCATTAAATTTGAAAAACTAGAAAAATCTGCATAAAAAACTGCAAAATCTCATTGAAAACCTTTTCATCTCGCTTTGACAAATCTCCACTTTTTCTAGGTTGTCAGACAAAAAGTCCACAGACTGCGCCAGAAGTCTAAAAACGGTCGTCAATCTGAACATCACTAAAGTCACTGAATTTGTAAAAAAAAATTTGCACAAAAATATCTAGCCTATCCTAGCCCAATAGATGCGAAATCGATGACGCAAAAAGGATATCTGTATCCATTCCAAAAACTTATTCACGTTAAAACTGACTTTTTAAGTATGAAAAATTTGGATAATCTCATTGGATAAACATTTTGGCATATGCCACTTGTTCGCAATTCTCACAAACTCAAATTGGCTCACTAGCATTCATCTGAATATTGCTAAATTCTTTCAATTAATTAATCTTTATGTAAGGTATTGGTTGAGATAAAAAAAGTCAGTGTCGCGAGCGGGATTCGAACCTTCGGCAAAATACGCCGCTGCTCTACCACTTGAGCTATCGTGACTTCGATCCACTCGGACACCAACTTCCATCTCAACCCAACCTTTCGAATTTTCCCTCCTTTTTGCCGTTTTTCAAGTAGAAGTTTCAAGTAGTTCGCGTAGAGCGATGTCACGATAGCTCAAGTGGTAGAGCAGCATTTAGCCGAAGGTCGTGGGTTCGAATCCCGCTCTTGACACTGACTTTTTTATCTCAACCAATACCTTACATAAAGATTAATTAATTGAAAGATGTTATTTCGTCAATCAATTGCTCAATAATAATCATTAAATTGCTAAATATACTGGATTTGAGCAGTAAAAAAATCACCACAGAAAATTTGGAAAACAACAAAATTATTTTTTTCCCCAAATTTGAAAAGTCGCTAATTCCTCCGCAGTTGTCACAGAAAATCCACAGATAGCTCGGAGGTCTAAGTTTGTAAAAGACGAAAAACCTGCTGCCTAATTTGTGTCCGTGATTTAATAATGTCAGACATCTAAACACTAAAGTCACTGATATTTTAAAAGAACAAAATACCTGCTTTGTCAAAAAACTGTCCAATCTCACCGAAAATCACGTTCTTTCCAAATTTGACCTAGTTGGACTAAATCGTCCGCGGTTTATTCACTATCTGATTGATCTGAATATCACTAAAGTTACACAAAATCTGCTATAAACTTTTTTTTGTCTTAGACGTCCTTCTAAAACGCCAACACTGGTCTGCGTTTCATCAAAATAAAAACAATTGAATATCCTGTATACTTCATGTTTCATTAATGAAAAAAAAACGTTCATACGGTCACCATTTCCAAAGCCCGCATGGATCCGAAAGGGCATAAAGTGGCTTGCGCCACGCCATAAACTTCTTCGGCCGCTCCCGTTGACAAAAAGAAACAATGGAGGGACGGGCCCATTTGCAATTTATCGCTCATGATAAACGTCGGCGAAAGGCTTGAAATTCGTTTATCTGTTTTATGGATCGCGGTCCTTATGGACAAAAGCCTTGTCCGCTCAGGGCCGACCATAAAGAAAGACCGTTTTAAAAAACGCCGCCGATAAATACGAGTGCCCCGGGACGGGCGATATTTTCAATTTTATCAGGACAAAACAAAAACCGACGGCGTGATTTACGTTCATCTAGTCGGAATTTCTTGCCAACAACAGATTGAAAATTCCTCAACGTAAAATGGTATAAAATGTAAAAGAAAACTATCAGCGGAAGTAGGTAGATATACTGCGCCCTTTAAGAGCTATTGCATTCCCCGTTCTGTGCTTAAAGCACACCGTCCCAGTTCATCAAATAACTTGATTAGTAGGCCCGGTTTCAGTGGTTGAATCTCTTCTACAGTTACGTTGAATGTCCCAAAGCACTCTCCTGCGGACAAGCATAGCACCACAGTTTGTTAGAAGGTGTGTTGGTGTTTCCTCTGCTTCTTTGCAGAATCTAAACATGCCGTGTTATGTTATGCCAACTTCTTCATATGTCCATTTAGCTTGCAGTTTCCAGTTAAAAATGCCGTTAGGATTCGCAGTTTTTTCCTGCTTCCTTTAATAAATTCTGTTGTCTTTCCTTACAAATTTTGTTAGGAGGTTCTTGGATTGTTTGTGTCTAATGAGTGAGTTCCATTGTTCGTCACATTTTCTTTTTTCCTTCTGTCCGAGGTGCTCATTGATGATGTGCATTCCTATGCCACAGAAGGGCTCGGGTCAACTAGGTTGAAAGATACATTCCTCGGCTGAAAACAACGTGGAATAAAATCCCAAAACGTTTTTTCCTTTTATCCTCAAACTCTCGATCATTTCTATTTTTAATATCATTTACAATTTCGTCTCCGAACGCTCTCGTCCAAATGCCGGTTGAAAAACAAAGCCGCAGACGATTTTTAAGCCCACGCAGGCCAGGCCATTTAACTCGTAGAGCGAGAGCAGATTCGGCCAGGTTTGACAACAGGTCGAACGTCCATGGTTATGCTGGTCAGTGATGCTTCTGAATGATTTTTGACAATTAGTCTTGATTTTTTTTCTAGTAATTAACTTCATAGTTTAGTCTTTTTAGAAGGTTCGCTTTGTAAGCTTGTTTATGTCTCATTTTTAATTAGTTCTTAAGATCTAACAAAGCAAATATAAACTAAATAATTAAAAACCTCTGAAATTTTCATTTTCACATTTTTTATGCATGTTTTTGGTTCCAGTTTCGTCCAAGAGTTCGTCGGACCGGGCCTCGACGGCATAACGCACCTCCTCGAGCTGCTGAAGACGGTTCAGGCGAACCAGACGTCGACTGCGAGGAGGCAGAACCTGCTGGAAGAGCTCGCCTGTCTGCAGTGTTTGTCGCACTGCCTACGATGCCCGGAGACGCCGCGCAGACTTGCAGCCTCTTCTGCTGGGCTCTTCACCCTTGCGGCCTGCATCATGAGCAACCTAAACAAATCGAGGATATTAGCCTTGCAAGTAAGGACATGGGTTGTGCAGAAAAACAAGCTTTCTTATAAATTACTTTGGATAAATAAGTATGACAATAGAAAAAAGTTTTGCGTTGCGCAAAACATGTTTAAATTCAGATGGCCAAATATACTGTTCTTTAACTAAGACAAACCTTTTTAAAACAAGGTTTATCTCACTAAAAATTTTCTCGGCTGGGGTGCCAGCTGGAATAACATCAACCAATTTTTATAATACTAACATTAGGTTAGTTTTCTTTATTGTTATATTTTGGAAAATTCCTTACTTGGACAGTTCTACTCTCTGTAATTAAAAAAAACGTATAATTAACGAATAATGATCAGATAATTTTTGGAAACTATCGTGGGACAATGTAATAACTTGCAGGCTGGAAAAAATAAATTAAACCGAGAACAATGGCAGTGAAAAATAATCGGTAAACTATTAACAACGAAAAATTCTGCAGGTTTCTAAACAAAGGAATGTGAAAAATTGTCTCGAGCATGTTCAGCGTTCTTTCAAATCAGTAGTTTCGAAAATTTTGAAAAAAAAACATTAAGACAAGTTGAATCTTTTCTGGGATTCCTTCGCTGTTCATTAATTCGCCGACTACTTTTTAAACGTGTAACTTGGTATATTATACTCTCTAAATTCGTAATTTTTTTACAATTGTAAGTTGTCCATGATATTTAAATTATAAATACAGAAAAGAGAACGAAAGATTAAAAGGAGAGAAAGGGAGTGAGTGAGAAAGATGGGGCAGGAGAAAAAATATAAAGATAATGAGAAAAAGAAAGAAATAGGGTGAGAGATAAAAATAGAAAAAGAGATATAGAAAGAAATAAAGAAAAAATAATACAGAAAGAAAGTGAGAAAAGATAGAGAAAAAAAAGACGTGAGAGATATAGAGCAAGCCAAAAAGATAAACATGTTAAGAGAGATAAAGAAAGAGAGAAATAAAGAAAAGGAGAGTGATAAAAAGAGAGAAAAGATAAAGAAATGAATAGAGAAAGACAGTGAAAAAAGATAGAGATTTAGAAGCAAAAAAGAAAGATATTGGGAAAAATTAAGAAATAAAGAGAAAATGAGAGTTATAGAGATAATGATGTGACAGGAAGCGAGAAAGAGAGAGAGAGAGAGAGAAATAAAGAAAGTAAGTAAGATAGAGAACACAAAAACAAAGAAATAGAAATAAAGAGAGAGAGGGGGGAGGGAGAGAGAGAGAAAGGGAGGGAGGGAGGGAGTGAGGGAGAGAGAAAGAAAAAATAAAGAATGAAAATAGGATAGAAAGGCGAAGAATTGATAAAAGATGTATAGAGAAAGAAAGAAAGTGAGTAAGATGCAGAAATCAAAAATAGTGAAAGAGAGGGAGAGAGAGAGTGAGGGAGGGAGTGAGGGAGGGAATGAGGGAGAGAGAAAGAAAAAAATAAAGAATGAAAATAGGACAGAAAGGCGAAGAATTGATAAAAGATGTATAGAGAAAGAAAGAAAGTGAGTGAGATGCAGAAATCAAAAATAGCGAAAGAAAGAGAGAGAGAGAGAGAGTGATAAAGAATGAAAATAGAATAGAAAGGTATTGACAAAATATGTAGAGAGAAAGAAAGAAAGTGAGTGAGATACAGATATCAAAAATAGAGAACGAGAGGGAGAGAGAGAGAGAGAGAGAGAGAGAGAGTGAGAGAGAGAAGGGAAAAAACGACAGATATTGAGAAAGTTGGAGAGGAGAAAAAATGGAAAGATATCAAGAGAAAAAAAAACGGAAGGGGTGAAAAATTAAAAAAGAAGAGAAATGGAGACAGAGAGAAAAACGAGAAATAAATAAAAAAGAATAGATACAGAGGCAGAGAATATAGAAAAGAGAATTAAAAGAGAATTAGAAAGAAAGAGTGCGAGAGAAAGAAAAAAATGAAAAAAGCAGTAAAATAAGATGGGTTGAAAGGGTGAGGGAAAGAAAGAAAAGGAACATGTGAAAGAAATACAGAATGAAAAAAATTAATAGGGAGTCATCAAAAATCATCATCATATTTCTCCTTACATAAAAAGAGAAATTAAATGATTCCTAGATTTATTTCTTTAGAAAAGCTTCACAGCTGCAAATCCAGATTCATCGTCTCTGCTTTTCTTCAGATGATATCTTCTATAAATGCCCATTTCCTTTAGTATTCGGTCAAAGAATCTCTAGTTCTTCTGTAGGGTGAATAAGAACCGTATTTCTCAGAGAAAATCGTTTTTTGCGTATTTGTCCAAGCTCTTGTTTTTCTAATTTATGGTTTGTTTATTTATTCAGGTGGTTTTCCTATTGGCTCTTAATATATCAGTACTAGTTTACTATAAGTTTTAAAATAGGCTAAATTGTAACTTTTTTTAATAGATTTTGAGGAAAACGTGCGAGGATTCTGGTGGTAAAGGCTACAGTCCAGTGAGCGATGCTATGTCGACGATGAGGCTTAGGTTCGGTGAGCCGGTAAGATTCAGATTCCTCTGCGGAATGCTGAGCAGTGCCTGTCCAGATCTGCTCCTAGCTGGGATAGCCTTCATCAACAGTTTCGTCGAGTCGGCGCCCGGTCCCCAGGTCCAGCTTTACATCCAGGCAGAACTGGACCAGGCCGGCTACAAGCCATTTGACGTCGTCAAGGTGCCATTCAAAAATGCCATTCCGCAATACTCGGCGGTCGTGCAGGTTTAGCAGTTGTTTTAAAAAAGTGTTTGTTTTCAGACAATACCAAATAAAGCAATAAACGAAGCCTTGCATGCTGAACTTACCAGATGGCAAAAGATCTACGTTGACGTTAAGAAGATCAAGTACAGGGAGTCTGAACTTATAAAAGAAATGCACTATCTCAAAGATAAAGTCCGCCATTTAGAAAAACGACTACAGGTATAGAATAAAAAGATATCTCCCGACAAAAAATACGTTTTGGGTATTTCCAAAATGTTCAAATAAAATATTATTTGGTGGTTTTGTCAGATTCTTCATGATGAAAAGTCCATGGTGTCGTCAAATGAATCCCGATTGAAGTCTCGCTGTGATGAGCTCGAACGTGAGGTGTCTTCTTTAAGGGGGATTCCAAACCAAGGTGGCTCAACACCGGCTGAAGACGAAGGGATCAGCTCCTCTGGTCAGGACGATGGGATCGAAAGGGAACCTTTGATTTATGAAATGTACGCCGTCAACAATGGCAAACTCGTCATGGACTCCAAAGAAAATGAAGACGTAAGTGCTATTTTCTGTAACAAACCCATTCAAGAAGAGTTCAAAAGATTAAATAATTTTTTCCAGGAGGAGACTACGATTGATGAAGTGATCGAAGAACTACAGAACATCATCAACGATGCTGAAACAGACTACAAGGAGCAAGCGGACCCCAAACGGGCGGTCAAAGAGCACGCTGCCCTCACAAAATATTATTCCAGATTTATTCATAGGTCACAAAATGATATGCTGAGTGTTGAAAACAATGAGGCAGAGATTGTCCCGGTGATGCTTGTTCAGCATCCTCCCAGGAGGTCCCGAAGCTTGTTTCTCGAGAGGGAATTCTCAAACAGCTATCAGTTCTTCGAGGAAGAGGAGTCGCGGGACAATTCAGACTCCATGCTTAGTAGTTCAAATGAAAACATCAATCTCGCCTACTACAGCTCTCAACCCAAATGTAACCAAAACAACATAAACACAGATCTGCAGAAACACTATGTCAAGAGGAGAGAAACATTCCACTATGGTTTACAACCATCGACACCGACTGTTGAAATAAAACCGGAAATTAAAAGCCGGAGGTGTAGCTTGGACGGTGTATTCTTCACCGCAGAGAGTGTAAGTAATATTGACAGGAGCAACAACAGTACAAAAATATACATTGAAGGCAATGACAATAAGAAAATCAAATCCAAGAGTCTAGACAGAATCAAAGATGGTCTGGACACAATGGTCGATATCGTCGTCACTGATAACACAGATGAAAATACATTCAAAGATATGAAGCCAGTTCCATTACAAAGAAATCTTGGCTTAAACAAGGACGTCTTCGCTCAAAAGAAAATGCAGAAGAGTGAAGAGAGCTTAAGATATCCTCAGGACAGGACTGTTTTCTTGCCGGCAAACGATGACCAAGCTAATCAGACATTCCTTCTCAAAAAAGGAAGATTTAACGCAGGCCTGTATTCTGGCAACACACTCAAAGACAACCCAATTACAACTCCATTCGTAGTCAACAATCAATGTGACTACTACAGCAAGAGCCTGAATGGTGCAAACCTTTCAATGTCCATGAAAAAACTCTCAGATTTACCGTCTGGCCTGTATTAAAAATATTTATTGAAATTATAGTATTTATAGAATAATCATTGTTTACACATGTATGGATGTTATTTGTGATTGACAGAAGAAAACACTATGTTTAATGAAGCTGTCAATATTTTTAAAGTTATTACCTTTCAAAGGATGCACACAAAAAATAGTTATAAGGTTAAATCGTTGTGTTCGATCTCAAATACACTATAATGAGTAGAAGGAATGTCTTTTAATAACTTGGTACATTTTTTTAGTAAATTAATATGTAAAAAGTTTCCAATAAAGTACATATAATAAAGTTGTTAATTGTTTAACTTCCCAAAATACAACAATTTTGAATTAATTAGAAGTTAAAATCTGATTTTGAAGCATATTTTGAATGAATATTTATCATAAGTAAATAAATATATTTTATTGTGCTTACTTTGACTGTATTTGTAGTCATTTCTCACTTATAGTTTGGACTTTTCAGTCGTTTTTTGGTCTGCCAGGCGGGTTTTGGCGTATTGACATTTTCAATGTCTGTTTAACTTTAATACAATTTTGTTCCTTTTCTACATCATTATTCATATGGTCAGAAAAACATGCAAAAAATGTAAAAAGTAAAACTAATTTTAAAAGATGGGGATAAAAAGACACAAAAAAACCTTAACTAAAAGATTTAAATCTAACTTTAAGCAGGATATGCTTCATCTTCTTATATTTGTACCTTTTATATTGAATTAAGCTCATTTTATAAATTTAAAATAACGTTTATATGCTGATGAAGGTTGTTCTCACAAGCCTAACAAATTTTTCTGTCAATTCGTAAATTTAAGTAGAATTGCTTGACAGATTAAAGGACAGTGTTTGCTGGACAAAACAGCGACACCTTGAAATTTGTCATAGTTTTCCAAGCATTTGACCACATAGGGCAGGCGTAGAAATAAAATTCACTGTTAATTAAAATAATAAATAAATTCTTAGTTGAAGAAGGCGGAGAAGATTTCATTCACAAGAAACAATATTTGGAAATAGTTTTTTGCTAATAAATTGATTGTACCAAATTAAAAACCGTTTGCGCTGATAAAATTCGACGTTAAAAAAAACCCACGATCTTCAGCTAGATGCGCCGCTGCTCTACCACTTGAGCTATCGTGACCTCGATCCACTCGGACATCAACTTCCTATCTCAACCCCACCTTATGAGTTTTCCCTCCTTTTTGCCATTTTTCAAAATGGGGGGTTGAGATAGGAAGTTGATGTCTGAGTGGATCGAGGTCACGATAGCTCAAGTGGTAGAGCAGCGGCGTATCTAGCCGAAAATTGTGGGTTTGAATCCCACTCGTGCCGTTAACTTTTTTTCATCTTAACTAAAAACCTTAATTAAATGTAATGTATTAATTGGTCAAGCGGACCACGAAATTAGTGAAGTTAAAAAACCTTTCAAATTTATAAACCGCAATCTTGTAGAGTTATACCAAAACTTCTAGATCATGAGAAACTAAACAAAAAAAGTTTACATCTCAGTTTTTTACCAAAAAATAAAATTAGAAGTTAAACTCACTCTGTATATATGTTGAATAGTGTTTACCCAAGAACTGAACCTTAGGATATCAGGCTGTTACATTGCATATGGCAGTTTCACAATTGGAAATATTATGATAAAATTATTCAAGTGCTGAATTAACCTGAAAATTTAGGTGATTATTGCACACAGTGTCGAAGGCTTTTATTCAATATCTAATAACACCATACCATTGTGTTCTTACGAAACTTACAAGTTAAAATTGTATACTGTCACATCGTAACCAGCTGAGTACTAGAATCGAAGCGCTTTTCTCTCATTTTCTTTGACAATTGTACTGGCAGCAAAGAAAACAAAGTAAAAAAGCCAATGTAACGTAATCATACATTTAGTTGAAGGTCATAAAGCGCAGCTGCCTTTTGCACTTCAATTTAAAAGAATCAGGATGCATATTGTGATGTGTTAAATTATGTTGTTAATAAACTTCTTCTTCTGAGATTGGAAAGCCATGATCAGAACCAAATCAGTTTTTGGATATTTTCATTTAAATGTAAATTGATTCTTGTTAGGACTTTCAGCTATCAAGGAAGAAAAAGATTGGTTGGTAGCGGCGCCAGGGGGCTTTTTTTCTTTTTTACAATTATTTTACAAATTTCATTTAGGGCAGATTAATTTATAAGATGGTTAACGTTAATAGAATTTATAACAGAAGTTTGTTGCTTAGCTTCCTAGCTTTGTTCTAATTCTGTTAATCTTGTCCAGGTCCAAGATTTTTCCTTTCTCTTCTTTTGCGGCTTCATTTTTATTTCAGGTCGTCAAAATTATGGTTTGTATTTATTCTCAAGTTTTGGCTATATTGTACTCTATTTTAAGTTTAATTATATGGTAGCTTGTTATCTTCAATCATCTTGGTGTGCCTACTCTCGTTGGTTTATTAAAAGGGCTATGCTGTAAGCTGTAATAATCATGGGGGGATACACATTATATTGGGATTATAGTTGTAATTTCGTGAATTACAAAGTTGTAAAAAGTATTTACAAGGAGCTGATTATTCTTGTTAAGTACTTAAAATAGCATACTGTTAACATAAGTACTTTTTTTTTTTTTTAAAGGAAGTAATTTAACATGTTCAAGTAATTAAGTACATAATAGTCTTTTTTATGCTCTACTAATAAGCAATAAATCTTAGTACTCTACTAACTATCAAAAAAGTTTTGTTTTTAAAATTATACAAAATTTACAAAAAGTAAACAACAAAAAATTCAATTTGATCAATAAATAAAAATATGCGTATTTAAACAAATATTTACAATTGTTGAATGTCTTTCATTATATAGTTATTTTCAAATGAGTTAAACTTCTGGGTTGTGAGGTACGATGTTCAGAGGTTTGCTCGTGACGAGGAGAGGTTCCTCGCAGTCTTTGTTATCATCGGGGTCCCGGCGCGGCAACTCTTTCAACTCAGTCGAGATATGAGTTAATTCCTCAGGATTGCCGTACTTCCTCAGCTCTGCAATTAAAAAAAAAAAAAAAAAAAAAAAAAAAACTTCATAATAACATTGCGAACACAGCTAAGTTTTATAAAATACTTTTCTTTTTTAAGTTCTTTTATTTATTACTATCTGTACAATATAAATCTACTTTGAGCAAATAGTATAGATAGTTTTATTCAAATCTGATAGATCTGTCAGAACAGGAGGCAGTGTGGATAGAAACCAGCCAGTGAAGGACTCTCTTTTATTTAATTTGGAGAGTTAAGATAGGAAGTCACAAGGCTATCATCATTTTAAACTGCATGGAGGATTTTAAGGGTGGACTTTGAAGAAAGAATTTGTTTAGTGGTCAGAAAGGAGGGATAGTTAGGGGTGGAAATTGAGGAAGCATGTTCGTATCAGATCCTTCATGAATTGGTTTTTTACATATTTATGGATTATTTGATTGGTGACGTAAAAGGAGCGCTTTTTTAGGAGGATATGCTGGAGAACTTTGGATTGAAAAGATTGGATTGGGTGTTAGAATACTAATAGCAAAATTTCATACCTGCTAAAGCACTACCGAGCTCATGTGAAGAACTCATGTACACGAAATACTGTGTGCAAATCGGCTTTAAGACCGCTAAAAGAGATGGATGGACATTAACGAAAATAAGGGCTTGTGATCTCGACTTGAAATCTTTCAGCAATGAAGATATGCCCTGAAAAAATTAAAATTGAATATTTAATTGAATTTTATTTAAAAATAACCAATTAAGAAATGGAATTCTACCTTTGCAGTTGTAAAATCAGTACTTTCTACAAGAGAGCAGTCAATAACTACAGGCAGTTTGGCGGCTCCTGCTTTCAGCACTGTGTACCTGAAGTGTTCAACGCCGGGGAAATATATGCTTGAATTTGGTTTTACACACATATACTCTATGCCATTTTCACTCTAAAAAAATAAAGATAAATTTACTTTTAACAAAATTTACATATAATTTACAATAATTTACCTGGGATTTCTCTGTTTTAATGTTTGGCTTTGCTGAGTAGAATAAAAGCAGTGCTATGTTTATGCCCACGCCGATTAAAATTCCCAGCTCAACTCCAATCAACAAGCATGTAATAAATGTTGCAAACATTGGAATTATGTCTCTTCCTGTAACAAAAATTAAGAGAAAAAACAAAAACGTTTACAACTTGTAAATTCAATTTTAAAAACTTACGGCTTGCCTTCCACATAGGTTTAATAACCTCATATTCGATCATGAATATGACAGCGCAGATAATGACGGCTGCGAGTGATGCTTTGGGAATGTAGTAAAAGTATGGCGTGAGGGCTCCGAGTGCCAACAGGAGAAGGACTCCTGTAAATGTCAAGTCTCTTTCACATTCCACTTCACTCTACATTTCAAACACAACGTACAGAATCAGCTTGATTAATGGTGGCCGACTGGCTCTCCAATGGTGAATTTAAAAAATATAAAAATTCTGTTCGTAACACTTTTAGACTCCAGGCGTCTGGAATTGTGGAAATAAAAATGAGGATCACCTGTGTAAACGCCGCCCATTGTGGTTCGCACACCGCTTGCGTGATTGACTGCAGATCTTGAAAATGAACCTGTGATCGGCATCGAAGATACAAATGAACCCAGAAGATTACAACCGGCTAAGGTGAAGAGTTCTTGCGTCGCGTCCACTGGCTCGCCTCCAGCTATGGTGTATTTACACTTTTATACATTTGGATACATTATATTTTTAATAAAATGAAATTACCAAAGGCTTTAGCAATTGCCACATTGCCAAGTACGGCAATAACAGGAACGAGTATCACCGAAGAGCCCAGCTGTGACACCATTTCGGTAAATCCGACTGTCTGGTTGCCGAGGGTCGTCGAAAAAGGAGGAAACTGGATGGGCGGGATGCCAGACCTGACATTACCTATTTAAACAAACTTCAAATTACCTTTTTTAACTTAGAAGAAGTGATAAAAATTATACCTGTCAGTTTAAAAGGAGTTTCCCCATACTCATTTTTCAAAAAATAAGACAAAAGGGAACAGACAATAACAATAAGTGCGTTCCTTGATGTGGACAAAAGCCAAAAGGACTTTGCGATTATTCTTTGTCGTTTAGTCGATTTCAAGTTGTCAACCACCACAAAATCTTTGATTTTCTATATAACCAAAATAAAATTTATAAGTGGACTTAATAGATCGTAAACAATTCTAACTTCTTAAAGTTAATCGTGTAGTCATAACTTCAAATTTTTGTTAAAACTCCATTATTGTGGTAGATTAAGAAATATTAACCCTTAAAAAGAGAAGAATGGCAATGCATACAAATCCCATTGTAGCATCCCATATTCTCGTATTGTGGATGTTCATCACAGCCTTTTGCACCGTAGATATGAAATCACCCGAATCGTATGAAAGACCGAGGAGGCCTTTCACCTGCGACACCACAATAATAACTGATGTCGCAGTAGTGAATCCGACTGTAACGGGTTGAGAAATAAATTCAACCAAAACACCTGAAACAAATTTCACAAAAGTAAAAACTGACCAAAGGACATTTTTCAAGATTATGGGTAAACACGAGAATATGGTCAATAAATTCACTAATTTCGTGGTCCGCTTGACCAATTGATACATTACAATTAATTAAGGTTTTTAGTAATTCAGATATCGTGAGATGCGGTCGGGTTTGATGTAGGTTTCAGAAAAACATTCTCTTTATCGTGCCAACGTTTTGATCTTTTATTGAGATCATCTTCAGGGCTCAAAGTGTTTGTCTTCTGTGTAATTGTGCCATCCTTGTATGTTGTGTTGAGAGTTGTAAGGTTTTTAATTGAGATGAAAAAAGTTAATGGCACGAGCGGGATTCGAACCCACGATCTTCGGCTAGATACGCCGCTGCTCTACCACTTGAACTATCGTGACCTCGATCCACTCGGACATCAACTTCCTANAGAGCAGCGGCGTATCTAGCCGAAGATCGTGGGTTCGAATCCCGCTCGTGCCATTAACTTTTTTTCATCTCAACTAAAAACCTTAATTAATTGTATTATGATCAATATTTATAATCAAAAAGGGGGACCAAGGGGTTAGCGCGTCAGACTCTTCTTAGCGGTTGTGGGTTCAATTCATCACCCTTAGAATTTTCTTTATCACTATCCCCTTCCACCAAGAAATAAAATTAAAAATTTACCTAAACGAAGAAATGTCATTACTAACATGACACAACCAGTTAAGAAGCATAACAAAACGGCATAATCAGGATTTCTGTTATGCACCTGCTGATAAGTCATCAGAGACATCAAAGCTGTAGGTCCAATTGTTATGTCCTTGCAACTTCCGAATACTGTGTAAACGAAACAGCCGATGAATGAAGAATATAAGCCATACTAACAAAAAGAAGATATTAGTATAAAACGCCATTTAATTTATTGTTCAAATTACCTGTGGCTGTAATCCAGCAAGTGCGGCATAAGCAAGGGCTTGAGGCATCACAGTCAGACCGACCGTGACACCAGCGATCAAGTCTGCGATCGCTGTTTCTGAATTGTATTTAGGAAGCCATGAGATTATTGGTATTCGCTTCCTTAAAAAAACTTTTAACTTTGCCTTATCCACAGTCATGTTTCTTTAATACTGGAAACAAAAATTATTAATATAAAATTTTATTTTAAAAAAATTTAATTGTGCATTTGTAAAAAAATAATTTTGATTAGGATACTTGTTTAGCACAAGTTTCTAAATTAACTTTTTTAGTTAAACCATAAAAACAATATTTTCCTAAACTTTATAATTTTATGTTTAGAGCATGCTCAAACAAAATCCATCAAATCTTCTCTATTCTTAGTTATTATTGTTTATATTAATGTTATTAATGTATATAATAAATAAAAATAATAATAAAATTACTTTAAATAAAATCTATCTATTATTTTCTTTTCTAATTTATTGTTTCCACTTTAACAAGGATATCATGAATAGATAAAAATATACAAGCATTTGTTCTTTGAGTATTATCTTTACTCTATTGTTTAGTCTTATATCAAATAAGGTGAAATAGGAACATACGATTATTTAGATGGTTTGACTAATTGTTTAAATATTTCTGATCATGGTTGTGTCCTTCACACACAAAATTCGCATTTACTTTCCACTTTTATTTTTTGTTTTATTATTACCACGCTTAAGAAAACAATAGCAAATATTCACTAAAAAAATACCCTTGGCAATAACATTTGACATATTGTGAAGTTTGTGAGATCATCTGCGCATTCTGGTCTGCCTATTATGAACTTGTTTTATCCGTGAGACTCATTTCACCATCTTTTATTTTAAAAAATATCACAGATTAGCCACAGAAGAAAAAATTCTGAAGCATCTCTGATAAACAAAACCGGAGAAAATACGCACATCAGGATGTTCGGGGATGATCCTAGAAAAATCCTTTAGAACAGACCAAAAGCAGAAGAAGAAATCGGGAGAGAACAAAATAAAAGGTAAACAGATAGCTCTGAAACCAACGGAGGAAAAGGAGCAAACCCAAAAAATGAGTAATCAAACTCAATACGTCTGAAACCATGCTACTGTCTTGTGCTATAAAAAAATCTTAAATTGAGTTTACACTGACAAAAAACAGGCAAGCAGCCTTAGAAGCATCGGCACATAAAATTGTCACATCCAAGAATGTATACAATGCACCAAAAACCTTGGAAAATGCCAGGGTACTTATTTAACAGCTAAGAAGGATGTTTGATAAAAAGGTACATCAAGATTAAATGCGCTATTCTAAATTCGCCGCATTCTTTCAACTGTGAAACAAATGCATTTTTTCCATTGCAAATTCCGCCCTTTAGGAATGGGTAATGAACTAGAAGACCAACTATAAGGTTTGAACTTATATTTGGGATAATTAGGTCAAGTACACCCTCCTCACAAAAACAAAAGGTAAAGAACCCTCACCTAAAACTGGCAAACACACTGCTTTAGTTAAACAGGGTAAAACTCAGGGATCGGGCAATATACTAGTATCTGAGAATGTATATTCAAAGATGAGCTCATTTGTAAGTTATCCGATGAGGAAGAAACTACCACCCATTTTATCTTAGAATGCAAAACAACCACCCAATTAGGACACAAGATACTAAGAAAACACAGGAAAATAATTGCTTCTTAACAGAAAGATCAACTTAACTGAACCGAAGAACTAAGAAAAGTACAATAAGCCTTTAAAGCTGCAGTGTTTGGGGAACACCAAACATCTGCTTTTTAGTACCCTCACCATCATAAGAGATTATCAAACTACCCAAAAATATATATAATAAAAGACCTTTACTTCTCACACACACTGTTCTGAAAATGATTTTTACCTCAAGTTTTACCTACTCGCACACAATAACGAACCAAGGCATGACCCTTCAAATTTTGTGTGTAACATTGACTTTTCTGGATATACAGAAAAAGGCATGGGATGTGGCATAAAAGCAGACCTGGGCCAATCCTGAGACTTCTGCTTTTGCAAAAGACTGTAATTTGAAACAATTATTGTTTTCTGATAAGTAATAACAATCAATAAAAATTTTATAAAATAGTGGTGTTATCTAGTCACTAGTTATAAAGCAATTAACCAGTTTTTAGCTGTAAGGCACTACCTTATTCCAAAATAATAAAAATATTTTAATACATTATATTACTTTAAGTTTTGTTGTAACATAAACAATAAACCAAATTAAAAATGAGTCTTAAATACATGGGGTTTGAAAGAAGTGAAAGCATTCAATAGTATAGCAGCAAAGGTTTATTATGTAACCATGGACAGTTGAAAATATTCAAGTTCATCAACCAGTTGCCCAACTGACCCGCTCTTGATGGCATTTGATCACTGCCCATTGTTTGTATATATTAATAATGTGCCAATTTAGAAATATGTGGGTCGATCAATGATAGATTGATACAGCATTGCAAAGAGTTTGGTAACTGGCTGGTCTGAGGTCAGAAAAGTCATTTGAGAGGGGTATAAGATAATGTCAACACCTTTCATGGTTTTTTTTTTTTTTTTTTTTTACTACAATCCCAATAAAAATAATTCTTGATGAATGATTTTTCGTGTCAAAGTCACCTGGTTGAGTGACACACAGGGGGGAAAAAGCCAATGAACCATGGAATTCCTACAGCTATGAATTTTATTCGGGTGATAATTTTCAGGGTTTTTTTCCTAATTTTTAAATGAAAAAATTAATAGAATTTTACTTGTTTTTTCAAGATATCAGTTTAAAGGAGTCGAGGTTTCAATTTATATTTTGTAAATGTGTTTGTTTATGATAGCCTATGAGAAAAGCATTTTTTAAATTATTGCTCACCAAGGCCTTAACTATAATATTAGAAAATTTTAAGGATTTTTTTTTTAACAAAATTGACTAGTTAATAAGCGGAACGCAAACATAATGGTGGAAATACGCCAATTAAAATTTGATCAAATGGATTTAGACAGGGCAATTTTTATTGTATATCTTTCTCACACAAAACAAACTTTTTATCGTTCACTGTTTAAAATTATTTATTCTAGTCAAAAGTGTGGAAAAAAAACGAGATGAAATTCTGGAATTTGGGTTCACAAAACATGCATTTTATGAAGAACCCAAGCAAGAAAGCCAGATAAAATTCAAACTGTAATAAAACTACAAGTTGTACGAATTAGTTTGCTATTTATTAAAAATCCCATTCTTTAAAGACAACATTGACTTTAAAAACAATGTACAACAAAAACACTGATGAAATTCTACAAGACTATACTGCCTAACAACAGACCTTGTTATATAAATATCTTCTATACAAATTCCTCTATACCAAATGAGATCATTTTATTTCATAGCAAAAAAAAATTGCAAGTTCAAACAGATGATACACGCCAAAGGTAGATAAACTGAGTTAAGGACCACTTACTGACAATAAAACAATATTTTAACTACAAGTCAGTTATTTACAAGCCAAAATGTTTCTTAGATGTTTAAAAATTTTACAATTTTACCCATTTCTTTCAAAACACCAATGGCTTCTTATATTCCCTTATTTTCCTTATTTTTGTCATGTTTAAAAATAATGTTACAGTCTTAGTATATTACGTATATTAAACGTAAATAAATATTCATTCATTTATTATTAAGTGAAAAACAATCCTCAAGAATGCCTCGAAGGCCAGAAGAAGGCTTGGTTCTTGATTAGGTCACAGACTGGTTCTTCAGCATTTAAGCATAAATTCTTAATATATTTATTTAAATGTTCAAAGATGTAGTAATTCCTTCAAACTCATTGATTTCCCTTGAAATGGAATCTAGTTTATAGCGTAAACATATATTGTACAATGACGTTCAATTCCTGTTTACATTCAAACCTGTTTGTGAAAAACATGAAAGTCTTTGATTTTTTAAAAAGAGGACTTATTTTAATAAGTCAATATTTACAATATAATTCAATCTATAATTTAGCTAATCATTTTTGCAAACTTTTTAAAAACAATTATTATTATTATTGTTTTTATTATTATTATCAAATTTGCAATATAATGCACAAACATGTTTTTAGATTATATCTCAGCCATTAATTGTTAAGAAAAAACTGGAAATCATCAAACGATTAACTTTAAAAAATTTTAAAAATTTAAAAATTATAAAAAAAATGATAGAACATAGCATGTCTTACCAGTAATGTGAATGCCGAATTAAACTGTGACTCTTGTGGAGAATGCCTTGATGAAAGGGAGATGCATGGGGGGGATTCAAGGAATGGAAGGGAGCAAAAATGACCTTCCTCAAGCCTTGGAATAATTATTACAGCCACAAGACAGTATTTATTATGGATCCACTTGTTATTATTACTGGAGACCGCTAACGATTAGACACTTTTCGCAAATATGAATGAACGGGGTAAATTTATTCGTGCAATGTCACGAATGTAATAAGTCTATGAACTAGCAATCCTATTGAGAATGCATTTATTTTCTATTCAACAACTGTGGAAGATGTGAAATAAATATTTAAGTCTGACATGCCAGAAATAAATGTTTGTTAAAAAAGAAATGCATAAATTACCAAACCAGAACATCACAAAACAAGAAAATTACTAATAGACTCTTAATTTACATTCATAAATAAAGCAGAAAGAGTTTATGATAGCTGGTGCATATATAATTTAAAAATAAAATTCGATTACATATATCTTTATAGATTAGTTGAGCTTTCACATCTGTTTCATTAATAATTGGGTGGTTTTATTTCATAAAAAATAAATAAATAAATAAAACAGCAAGGGAAGAAAGAAGAAAGTAATTTCATCAATTTCAAAGTAATTTCAACAAAAAAAGACCTGAGGCATCCAAGCGTCGGATGCAAATCAGAAGGGCATCTCACACTTGCTAATTTAAATTATTCGAAAAATTGTCTTGAATTGTGGTACGTTTGTAAAAGATTGGCCATCCTGTTTGACACACTATTTAAAAATAATAAAATAATAGAGACAATAAAATTTTCCATGTGTTTAATAATTTATAAATAAATGTACAACATTTATACTAACGAATGGATGCCACTCCGTGGTTCAGTATAGAGAGTATATACAAATGCCATCATATGAGAATTGTACTTGAGTTCGGCAGCAAATAAATGGGTTCCTTGATCTGATTTTGTGAATAAGGGTTGTTTTAATATATATAGTACTGATTATGTGTTGTTTTGTGTTCTATAGTGTGTGTTCATAGTGAATGTATTTATTAGCGTGAATGTGTCGTGATTGTATATCAAACGTGAAAGGGCTGATGGAAGAATATTGAGCACCCATCAATCCTCGATTAGGTTAGTTATAATAATAGGTGTAAAGGGTGATGGAAGAATATCAAGTATTCCACCACCCCGAATGAATCTGCCACACCGAACAATTGTCTCAATGATTCAGTATTATTCACTCAATTTGTTTCAACAGTTCAAGAGAACACAATTTTTTTTTTTTCATCAATGCCAAAATATAATAGTTTTTATCTTTTGGGTCAACTTTATTTTTAAAAAAATTAAAGGAATAAAAAAAAATTTAATATTTAAGGCTTTTGTTAGCTTCTTAAAAAGGATTTTGATTATCTAGATATGACTGCTGAGTAATTAAATTTAAATTGTGAGACACGCTATGATAATAGAATAGATTGTCTGATCTAAAGCATTTTTGAAATCTAATAAAATTAGAATTGTACAGTTACTTTGATCAACTTTTCTACGACAATCCTCCGTTATTTTCGGTAGATGAAAAAGTTATGCCCTGAATGAAAACCAGACTGAAATGGGTTCAGCTTTTTGTTCTTTTCTTTGGCTGTTCAATCATTTTAATCATGGGCAAAGGTGTAACAATGATAGGTCTAAAATATGTTTTGGTGAATTAACTTTTGAAAATGGTACAATGGCATGCTTCCAACAAGATGGAAAATTAGAAGATGAGAATCAAGTTAAAAATTAAAAAAGAAACATAAGGAAGAGTAATCATATACATATATACATTGTGAGTTTCGGCATGTGGTCCGAACAGTGATGAACCTATAATCTGTATTTCTTGGTCTCATTATCTCAGGAAATCAATGTTTGAATTGCTGACAAAGCATTTTTACCATGAGATTTTCCTTACCATCTGTATTATGAATTTGCTAATACAGACAATAATGGATTAACAAGACACTTAGCAAAATTTGATTGAAAAACTCTATTTGGTCAAAATGAGATAAATTACTGTTTATATTTTAAAATATTTTATAGAATATATTTTTTATTATTCCATTTACGTTTTAGTGGTCAATTGACCAAGTTACTTCTTTCAATTAATTATTCTTCTTATGTAAGATCTTGGTTGAGATCAAAAAGTCAGCGCCATGAGCGGGATTTGAACCCACGACCTTCAGACCAGTCAAGGTTGTAGGTTGAGAGGGAGAGTTGGTGACAGAGGGGATCAAAGTCACAATAGCTCAAGTGGTAGAGCAGTGGCGTATTTAGCCGAAGGTCGTGGGTTCGAATCCCGCTCGTGATGCTGACTTTTTGATCTCAACCAAGACCTTACATAAAAAGAATATTTTTATTGTGTTCACAAGTTCATTATACAAATGTCACAAAATAAATAAACGAATATAAATATATAATACATTACTTTACGCTTTTTACAACCTCCTTGAATACATCCTTGTGGTATATAGGATTTTCTACTAATAACTTTTTTATAAATGTCATGAATTCATTAGTCGATAACGATTTTATCTTATTGGGGAGCATGTTGTATTTCCTAATTTCACTAGGTTTTCTGGGCTATTTCCTGTTTTTTCATTGAACAGAAAGGGATTAACAAATTATTATAATTTCTAGTATTAATCTTGGTTGTTTTAAAGAGTCACAATAATAAGGCTGCCCTTAATATATTATTGGAGTAAATGTACAAAGCAGGTATGGTCATCACTTTCAGCTCTTTGGTTAATGGTTTACTATAAACCTTTGGTTTTTTTTTTTTTTATTATTCTTAATTAATTATACTTTATATCTAAAGTCTTGTTTGAAATGAAAAAGTTAGTGCATATGTATAATTAATTGAAATAATTAAATAGGTCAATTATGATTGCTAAACATACATGGATTATTATGCTTAATGCCTTTTTTGCATTTTTAGTTTTTTGTTGTTTCTTTTCCTGCATATGTTTCACATGCCCAAAATCTAAATGCCATAATTTACAATTCCTTGAAATAGTGATAAATATATGTATGTTTGTATATCAGGAACATTTTGTAATTTTCTTAGTATAAAACAGATCAAAGCAAGTTTTCTGCACACATAATCAATATGATTATTATCTAGTACAAAACCTAGAAAGTTTACAGTTATTTTCAATCTCAAAACAGATGAATTGATTTTTATTCACATCTGTACCTAGGAAGTTAGCGCAGAAATAATCATATATTTTATTTATTACATCAACGGCAAGTAGCCAATTTTACAACAGTACTTACTGTACTTAAAATATGTGAAATTACACGGCTTTAATTTTGACCAGAGATGAACAGAATAAGTCCAGATCACTATTTAAGTTATTAGCTTTAGTACATATACTAGGAATGGGAGCATTTTTTAGGTAGTTTTACATAATGGTATAAAGAACAGAGGACTGAATCTGGTCCTCTTTTCTGGTATATTAAAGGATATTTTCAACAATTCAGGACAACTAATCATATTCCTTAAAAGTTTTACAAGAAAAACAATATCAATTGATGATCTACGATCTTCTAATGAACTAATGTTGAGCACATTTCTAAGAGTTTCAAACGATATCCAACTAGAATTTAGAGCAAGTTTGTAAGAACAGTATTTAAGAAATTTGTTTTGCACAGATTCAAGTCTATATATATAAGTATGATAACAAGGTGACCACACTACTGAGTTAAACTCTAAGATTGGCCTTATCAGAGAGAAAAAAAAACCAATATTTTTAAGCAAAATATACTATTAAAATCCTGTATTTCTTTTCAAGAAACCAAGTAGTTTCAAACATGTATTATCAATAGATTCAATATGCAGGCTAAAAGAAAGAGAGAAATCAAAATTTACACCTAGGTCTTTGATATTGTTTAAAGCTATTAGTTCTATATCACAGGTATTATATTTAAATTGTAATGGACTAAGTTTCTTATGATAATGGATAACATTGCATTTATCAATTTTAGAATCATATAATTTAGATCATCTGACTAGATTAGCTATGTCTTGTTGTAACATTTCAGTCTTCAATATATTTTATTATTTTAAATACTTTGAGATCGTCCGCAAACAACTTAAATTGACTATTTGTAAAACACTTAACAATATCATTAATAAATATATTAAATAACAAAGGCGACATGTGGCCACCTTGTGGAACACCAGAGGTAACAGATATTGGTTCTTATTCTTTACAATTTGAGTTCTGTTAATCAGAAAATCTCTCAACAATTCCAGCAGGCCACCATGAATGCCAATCGCTTCTAGCTTAGAGCAGAGAAGTTCATGGTTAACTTTATCAAAAGCTTTGCTGAAGTCAGTGTAAATGACGTCAACCTGACAGCCAGTTTCAAAAGCTTCGAGTATGCTATGCTGGAAAGTTAATAGATTTGTTAAAGTGGATTTATATTTCACAAACCCACATTGGTTTTCATCAATTAAACAACATATACTTCATTTAACACTTAATTTTTTTTATATTGTACTTACTACTAAAATTAGTATCGTCAGGAGGTTGGAATGGGAAAATACTCTTATCTGTACTATTTACACAAGCTTTTAAGCTATTTAAATATATCACAAAAATATAGGTCCTAAAATGGATCCCTGAGGTACACCATATATGACTAATTCATGACTACAATAAGTTCCATTAATTATTTTTATTAGTCTGTTTCCTGTTTTTGAAGAAATTTTCACAAAATTTCAACAATTTACCCCTGATGCCAAAGTGGTATAATTTATCCCATAGAATTGTATGAATAACTGTGACGAACCCCCTTGATAGGTCACCTAGTGCCATTGTTATGGGTGGTTTTTTTTTCTTCATAACCATTAAATATCATTTTTTACCACATCATTTATCAAAGCAATGTAATGCTGTTTCAAACACTTTTGACAATACTTGAGTAAGTGTGATCAGTCTTCTTTTTTTTTTATTAAATTAAATTTTAAATTTAAATTTAAATTTTAAATTAATATAAATTTTACTCGTTTTTGAAGGCATCAGTTTAAATTGAGAGATAGAAGTCAAGAGATAAAAAAGTCAGTGTCAAGAGCGGGATTCGAACCCACGACCTTTGACTAAATACGCCATTCCTCTACCACTTGAGCTATCATGACTTCATGACACTGACTTTTTGATCTCAACCAAAACCTTAATTAACGATTAATTAATTGAAAAGAATTTATTTGGTCAATCGGACCTCGAAACCTTATAGAT